GTCGCTGTGAAACATTCTTCGTTCCCGAATTTGAATTTTAAAATGATTAAATTTATTCTTCGTTTTTGGTTGACAAGTTGTAGGCTCTGTTTTTGGTATATAGATTTCTTCTGTGGCGTGCGGCATTTTAATTGTAATGTTCAGTCAGTTTCCCGACAGTCAGTTTATTTGTTTTTTGTGATATAAAGTTTAAACTATGAACCCACCCCCTCCCACAAGTGTGTGTTTCACAGTCATTTCTACACAATTCATAGTCTCAGTCTACAAATAACACAAACAACAGCCTCACGCTTTCTGATAGTGTTTGTGATTACGGCGTCACCGAAATTTAAAGTCATCTCTTCATAGTTTTATTTTACTCTTTGTCTTCCTCAGGATGCAGGCACTCACTAAAGAGAGCATCATTTGTGTGCAGTGCACATTAATACTGCCGTACTTTGGCAACAGTAATCGTCATTGCAACCCAGTAAAATGATCTGCATTTGTACCACTGCACTCAGCTTTTGTTTAAAAGTCTCTGTTCAGTTTTAATAAAAATTTAGCTTAACCTCCAAAATGTAACTATCTGAAATGCTCCTCTGTCCAGGTTACCGAATTTCCCAGAGGAACCTACCCGATGGATTAATAAAGTTTTATCTTATCTTTTTATCTTATCTTTAGGTTATGCCCTCCTACCGCCCGGTAAAGCTGACAACCTGTCGGACTCAAGTCACAGCGAGATCTCTTCCCGCTCCAGTATCTGTTCGGTCGACTCGGTGCCTGCTCCTGGGCCTGATGACCGATGTAATAGCAGCAACAGGACCTGTATGACTACTACTGCCACTATTGCTATTACAACGTCTCCTGCAATAGCTACCGCGGTTCCTGAGAGCGCAGCAGGAATGCATTCCCACGTAAATGCTGATTACAGCCAGCCCAGCACAAGGTAATTTGGCTTCAGTTTAGTTTGTCTAATCTGTCTGATTAATTCTTTAGATTGCGTTCAAGAAGTGCTTTTATTTTGATAGAATAGACTGACAAGATAGTTTTGTTGTTCTGCACTTTGCATAATACAAGGACTGATTATGATTCCTATCGTATACTGACTGTGGATGTTTGATAAGGCCTAAGTAACACAGACCTAGAGACCCGTGAGCAACCCCCCTGGCAATCTCTGGTTGCTAGGGAAACATGTATATTCTCCAAGTAGTTGCTGGAGGCTGCTGGTAATGGATAGGTCAAATTGGTTGCAAGGAGCTATACGGTGCACCAAAAAACTTCCTTGTCACCGCTTTGGTTGCTAGCAGGTTGCCAGACAAGATGGCAACTTGTCTGCAAACACCCGCCAACTACTTGCTGAGCAGTAGTGAAACTTGCGTGGGGTGATTCCCAAACCACAGCTCAACGCAAGTAGTTTGCAGGTATTTATAACCACTCACCAAACAGTGTTGAAATACATATTTATTCCTATCAAACTGTGTGTTGCCTGGAATTACAGACGGGTCTCGACGCCTGTGTAACTTGCACGTAGTTCACATTTTGAAGCCTCGAGTTAGCATTATGGCTATTGCTGTCTCGGTTGTAGCCAGAAGAGACCGTATCTGGCCAGCTTCATTAGCTGGATGCATCTGTAGATTGTTTGGGTGTTTTGCACAGACACAGAAAGTAACTCACCAAAGCTGTTAGTACAAATAACCACTCGCCACGCCATCTCATTTGCCAGATAATTACCTTAAAAAGCATCAACACCGCAAACATGGTTAAGAGGTCCAGTTCAGTGACTCCAATTAGCTGCTGTGAAGCTGAGGAGTCTTGCACACACCAGCTGGTACTCAAACAGCCAATGTGCAATAGTTAAAACTTACGGCCTTAATAACATTTAAATGGGTTAAATATAAAATTTAAAAAGCATGCGCTCGACATTAGTGATGCACAGAGAACAGTAGCTATAGAGATGAGGCTGTGAGTATGTGTATTCCTGTTCAGTGCTGAGAACTTTTACTCTTTACCCCTTGAAAGCCTACAAGGAGCAACATCTGAAGGCTTGCATCAGACATTAATGAGAGTGGTCTCTGCCTCTGCAGCTACTCTTGGAAAACACAGTATTGTTTATCAAACCATATTGATTGAGCTATGCTGAGGCGTCAAAACTCGCCATTAAAGGTACAGGGGCGGTCGCTAAATGTCATCTTTATGAGGAAAGAGTTAACATGGGAGTCTACGGGCAGGCTGCCTTGCTTTTGAACAGGAACATTTTGCACCAGGCGACCGAAATGCAAGCAAATATTTTTATAAGGCACGTGTCAGAAACCTCGCCGTTCGACACGCACGCACAGACACACGCTGTCTGCTGCCACCTTTTCAGCAAGCTGGATTCCAATAACGTCCTTCCCTCATTAAACAGGAAGCTCTAAAACACAGCGGGTTTTTATTAGCATCCCACATTTACTGACCTCCTCTCTCCTCCTCTTCTCTATTAACAGCGTATCGGTTTCTACGCGGGCGGCTTTTTAATCTGGCCGAGTTAACAACACGGCTTTTTTTTTTTTAATTGTCTGCTGTTTGTTTATTATTCCTCCATGATCAGGCCATTGTGTCTCATAAAGAGGAGACTCAATAACCCGTGTCCCCGCTCTGGTAATATATTACCTCCGCAGCCTCGTCGTATAACACGCACCTGTTTTATGAAATATGGATCGGTTTCATTGAGTGGCTTGTTTTGTCCAGTAAAACAGTGTCAGTGAATGAAAACAAACAAAGTAGGTGAAGAGGAAAAGTTTATGTTTCGCTTTAAGCCAGGCTGCAGGGAAACGTTGTGACGTGTGCAGAATCAAAGCTGATTTTACAGGTACCGACATCATTATATAAACAAAGAGTGCGGTTTATTTTGTGATCTGTGTAACATTGAACTTCATCCTTTGTCCATTTGTCTTTCGTGCTGGTGATCCTCTGACCGAGGTGCCCTTCAGCAGTGTTTTATGGTTGATGAACCTCCTTTCCTGTCGCCCCTCCCTTCTTCCCTCTTGCTTTCTTGTCGCTTCATTTCAGTATGACTTACCTCCACCTTTACCACCACTCAACAGTCCTGCGCAACAGACTATATTTTATTGACTATTTTTACACAGGCCAGTTTTTCTACACTGTAGTCGTGATTGCCACGCAGGCGTTCCGCAAATGCGGTTTGAAATGATAAGTATGGCAAGTTACACATTTATATAAATGTATTTTATTATGTAAAATAAGTGAATTTGAACTGGTAATAGGAGGTGGATAGGTACTGTTAGTCACAGGGGCACAAAACATCAATCAGAGCTGGTATTTGTGCTGATTTTCATCTGTGTATTACTTTCGTTCATCTACAGCGGTTCCTCGTCAGCTCGGGGATACCCGACGCGAGCCTCCACCTTCACTTCTTCCATCTCGACAGAGGAGCTGACCCACGACCACACCTCTCTGGACTCGGTGGCCGACAGCGGGCGCGGCAGCTGGACGTCCTGCTCCTCCAACTCCCACGACTCCTTCCAGAGCCTCCCCACCTCCTCCTGCCGGCCCTGGGACCACGGCATCCACGGCCACCCGCTTGCTCTGTCCCACTTCAAGCACACGCAGATGACCCGGCCGATAGCGGAGGCCGAGGCTGCCGGGCCCATGTGGGCGAGCGACGGCGGTGCCAGGCAGCACTCCAGAGACTCGAGTTCAGACCTGTCCAATCAGTGCCGGCAGAGCTGGGCGTCGTCCGGCTCGCTCTCGGACACCTACGAGGGGAATTACGGGACGATAAAGCGGCGAAACACCTCGGAGCACCCCTCCTCACCAGCCAAAGAGGAAGGAGGGCAAAGCACAGACCCTGCCTACAAAACGGTGACATCAAGCACAGAGAAGGGCCTGATAGGTGAGGGAACAGCTTGCGAGTTTGATTCCCTGTAAGCACAGCACAGAGTAGAAGTGGTCAGGAGCAAAAGTTGAGAAAAAGAAGAAAATACACTCTTCCATCCTAGATTTGCTTGTGAGGTTATAGACTTTGATTTTTTCCCCCCAAATCTTTCTTGGTGCCAAACCATATTTTGATTTAAGCTCCAGTAAACAGCTTGAATTTGCTGCACTTTGATAAGAATGAGTCCGAGCTCATTCTTATCACTGTTAGCTCTCTATCCTGTCCAGAGTCAATTCCTTTTTTTGGATCTCCTGCTGTGCTAACACGATAGTCGTTTACTATCATAAGGATAGCAAAACGTCTTTTTTAAGCAATTTTTAGGACAGATTTTGAGTCGTTGGTGTGGATTTTAATTGACAGCAACTGTGACAATCGATTAATCGTTCTAGTCGGCCACTCTCGCCTGCATCACCTCAAATGTGAGAATTTGCTATTTCTTTTCTTAGCTCACAATAAATATCAGATCATCACGATGGGCATTTTCACTGTTATAAGAACCAAGCGATTAATCGATTGATCTGAGAATAACCGACAAACTAATCAGTGCTGAAGTCAGTTCTCAGTTGCAGTTCCAGTTCTGTCTGTATTCTGCAGCCATCCATCTCATCTGTTGTGTTTTTCTTTTCATTTTGGACACACTGTGGTGCATGTGTAGCTGCCTGTTGTGTTGGTGACATCGCATTGATTTAATTTTCCCATTATTTTTTTTTTCTTTTGTTTTTACCCTCTGCACACCCTCCCCCCCTCTCTCCCCGGCGACCTTTTCGCCCCCTCCTCTCACTCCTCATCCCTCGTCCCCCCCTCTTTTCTTCGGTCCATCCCCACCCTTTTTCTTTTTGATCTCCACCTGCATCCAGTGTATTGTGTCACCTCCCCTGCCAAGGATGAGCGTTACCGAGCTCCCCCTCCCACCCCTCCAGGCTACCAGGGCCTGGCCCTGGGGGACCTCGGCCTCGCAGACGGAGTAATAGGTGGGCCAGGAGGGCACGTCCCCAGGCCTCCTCACCTCAAACCTCCGGACTACAGCGTGGCGTTGCAGAGGAGCAAACTCCTGCAGAGCCCCGGAGCTGCCGGCAGTCTGGCTGAGGCACGCAGGCTGGCGGGTAACCTTCACCTTCAACACCAAGACGCACGGACAGCCGGGTCCACGCCGGGCCACTCCAGACCGCCAAGCATCTGCCACCCGCCACAGGATCTGGCTGACAGTGAGGATGGTAGGAAACTAATCAGAATTGATTCCTTTCTGTAGAAAAGAATTGCAAAGAGAAATTTTAGGCTACGATGTGAACATGAGGTATATATATTTATCTTCTCTTTTCCAGATGAGCAAGTCTCAGCGGTGTAACGGCACAAACCGACGGACCAAGTCG